TTTGGGTCCTGTTTTCAAAACCTATGGCATTAGCACCTGGTTCCCTCTAGTTTCTAACTTCACTCGATTTAAATCACTTACAATTCACTCGGGTTCGGTGCCCCAACTAGATTTAACGGACTGTGTTGGTATTAGCTGCTCCCCCTCTCTTTTTACGACCCTACAGCAATTTCGTACTCCATAATGTGTTTATGAATTTTTTGTCCTCATTGCTATTGGATGCACACCTTCCTGGTACACCATGTCTTTGCCCTTCCCACCTTGAGTTAGCAGCACATCGTCACTATCAGCAGAACATAGAAGTAGCAGGCTTACCTTGATGGACCTATGGTGACCCTTGACCTCTTTTCTTGTTCACCAGGTCCCCTTAACTCAACGTCCATCTCACTCATCCGTAGAGTCCTCCTCCCATGTAGCGAATACAACACCTCACTCCTCTTCTATCTTTCCTACCTGCTCTCTCTCCCCTATCTCTGTTTTTTCTTTTTACCAACTATCAGTAGCCCATTTTTTTGCGCTGTAACTACTAAGAGGTGAGCTAGCAATGTGTCCTGGCCTCCAGCAAAAAGCACAAGTATGCTGGCAGCTAATTAAGAATAGCTACCATCCGTCATCATCCGATGCGGTATTCACAAACTAGCACCTTAGTTTGGGGACATTCACAACTTGACAAAGAGGTCAGTGGTAACATGCACGGTCCACATGTAATACAGAGCTATAGCTAACTCACCATCAAAGTGGATGTCATTGGGCTCCACCATTGGAAGTAGGTCCCTGACTGGTACATACACCTCCCTTCCATCAGGTCCAAGTCCAAGACTGGTGGTGGAGGATTGGGTCAGGGAACCGTAATAGTTCGCTTCCTGTTTCAATGCAAAAAAAATATTGGGATAATTGGCATTGGCACAAGGGTTCGTATCATACTAGACTTTTACAGTATCATAGATAGTGCCGGTAGTGTTGCGCATGCGTCGCGGCTAAGGCCCTACCTTCACGCCCTCTTTGGTCCGCCACTGCAGTTTCATCTTGTTGGCAAGGACGCAGGCAGTGACCGTGGAGCCATTGTTACCGCCCCACCCCACTAGCATGCACCCGACCCGAGGGACTTTACATTTCGTGCGAAACGTAAGCGTCTCTGAGGTCGGCACCACACGGTAGCGGCCGTCCGGCCCCGTCGACACTTGGGTCGACTGATATTCATAGGCAGACAACAGCGTGTTGGTGGTGCTGTTGTACTGCACCCGTTTGCTGTCCACGGTGTATCGCTGCATGTTTTCGGAAAGCTTCTCAATCGTCGATTGCTCTTTCAGTATTTATAATACCGCCGTCAAGCGTTCCGTCAAATCCCGTCAAATTCCGTCCGGATGATTGCAGTTAGTATAGCGCGCTTTAAGGCTAAAACCAGTTCTAAAACCGGTTTTCTTTTATATGCTCGTCCCCGCGCGCGCCCCCAGAGGGGTATATACGCGGCACTAATCGCGATCGCGCGATGTCATCGTCACATCATCTCGAATTTTCTTGAGGGCTAGCTTACTGGTGCATAGAGCAAGTCACAAATCTCAGCTCGTGCCTGTCTTACTAAGATTTGGGAACGAAAGAGCTCGACTTGGGAGAAAACATTATGACTCAGCAAGAAGGCTGGCGCCTCTTGCAAGTGTATAACGGAGAATGTGTTGGATGTAGGGAGTCTGTCCCATTCCAATGATCGACCTACGAGTGGCAGCTGGTCATAACAGGTTCGCAACGGGTCAGTTTACGTTGCAGTCAAAGCAGCGGCAGAAAGCTAGGCGAGTTATTACGTCGCCATAGGTGCTCAATGGACTGGCACCATACACTCACAACTAGCGCGCGCATGGTTGGTGGACTCCCAGCTAGCTAGCTGCACATGCGCACTTTTAGTTGTGCGAGCGCGATGATTATGTAATATACCTTACGCGATCACATGAACAACCACCACACATTTGCCCCACGGTGGTGCGCGCATGCAAAGTGTGGGTGTTCTTGTGTGCATTAAGTGTCAAAGTATCTCCTTTATACACTACAGACATAATTATTTTTCCATTCATGAGTAAGGCTTCCACTTCACCATCCAATGGTGTGACATCTCAATGTAACCTCTTGTAGCCTTAGTAAACATAAAAAGTGATCGGGTAACCAGTGTAAAGTTTAAAGAGGACTATAGAGGAACTAGGAAGCTCCGTTCATCATTGTTTTGATGAGAGTGTCATTGTCTTTGTTCTTTATGGCCGCACGGCAGGCAGCAATCAGCTGGGCCTTGGGCTTTCCAACTGTTGAGGGAGAGAGAGAAGAAGAGAAAAGGAAGTGTGTGATTGGTGTGTGGGGGTGGGTGGGTGTGATACATGTGTACACCAAATACACAGTAGGATGCCAAGGCATAAGGGAGCGGTCCCACATAATTCAACACTTAGTACAGCTTCTGGGCAATGAAAGCAAGTGTCCTATAGGGCTCAGGGGCAAAGCCTCCAACTAGACTTTCTGGTCGGTCATCCGTGCACATGCCACAAAATTCCCGTAACATTTCCGTAGCGCGCTTGAACCCCCCATTTGTCGTTATACTTGCCACGCCTTCTCGAGGGCGCTTCTCCTCCGTATTCTTCGTTTTTTGCCCGTAAATGGTGTTCGAATTCCGTAATTCCGGATAAATACCGTTGAGTTGGAGGCTCTGCTCAAGGGTCGAGTCTGGTGTTCACATGAATGGTAGAGACTAGCAGGTGTATTGTTATAGTATATAGGCAGAAGGAAGATAAAAGGAACCATATTGGGCCTTTTGAGACACAACCTTCCTCCCCATCCACAAACCCTCTTGGCACACTGCATGCAGCAAGCAGCCCACACTACAGGTCCACATGCATAGCACATGTCAGCCACAGGGGGAGCACATGGGCCAAAAGTAATGCGATATTTACCTCTCAGGTTACCAGTCTTTTGAATGGCTTGATTGACAATCCTGAGACACTCCAGCAACTCCAGGTGGTTGTTGCTGCGAATGTTGTAGCCCAGCATCAGGTCCTTGTTTAGCTCATACAGCTGGAAGTAAGCCTTCTTCATGTTACCCCTGACGATGGGAGGGAGAGAGTTAGGGAGTGTGTGTGTGTGTGTGGGGGGGGGGACACACAAGGAGTGTCCTAAACAGATGTCACATTGGATTCAAGCTGCATTCTTTTGTAAATGTTTATTACGGCGACGTAACCTGTAACCCTTTCCCACTGAGGGCCCTTGTTCATGTAGTGATTACACTCTTGGAATAAACACAACTCATATCCCAAGCACCTATATATTAGGGGACTAACATGTCGTTCATTATTCTGGCATCCTCTGCTCGCACGACTAGATTCCTGATGAGGGCCGAGTTGTCGGCCATTTCTGCGCTCAACTTCTGCCTGATCTTGTGCAACTCCTCCACCTGAGCCCCAAGACAAATATCGGAGGTTTCCAGGGGGGAAATAAAAAAGTAGGGGGGAATAAAAAGGAGGGTAAACCCCCCTGCTTCCCTGCTTTAGCTAAATCCCTGCTAGTCTCATGGGCCAGACGTGTTTTCTTATTCCAAGTTACATTAAACCTCTGAATAAGGGACACCTTTGGGACGTTGAAAGTATCTTTCATTCAGGTGTCCTTTTTTTGGAGGTAGTTAGTTATAATTGCCGAGCGCATTAAGCGTGAGGCAACTACTCCGGGTTATATTCTCGCAATATACGTACGTACGTATGTGTCCGTCACGCTTAAGAATGTCAATTAGTCACGCTTAGTGAATGTCAATTAGTCATGCTTTGGAATGTCAACTTCCGTCATTCGTAGCTTCCGCCGTGCACGCAGATTCGTAGGAAGTCTGGCTTCGCGCTGCAGTCATGTCAGTAGAGCGCGCGCACGAGCGGCATCAGCCAGACTGTTTACGCTATTGGCTGGCAGGCGCGAGGCAAAATATGCGTGTGCGCATTCCTAGTACACTAATGTATTTAGTATGGGGCAGAAGCAAGTGCTCCTTATATAGAATTCGGAGGGTCCTTTCTCAGAGGTTTCACTGTACATGTACATCTACTTAATATCACCTTAATCTGAGGTACATTGTAGAAATGTGGCATTTACACAAATTGGGTTTCGTTTATATGTTGATCAACGAAAGGTTAATGGTTGTGCTCAGTCAATTGAATTAGTGATTGCATGTTCCATTAGTATACACACATTCACGTTCAGCCAAATTGATGCATGCAAAAGTAAAAAAACTCTTCCATATGAAAAAGTCCATTTGTGTAGCTGCTTGTGGGCTCATAACACTGCATAATCAGTGACAGCATGGGTACACCAATGGGACAGAGGAAAGTGTCCATACTATAGAGGTGTCCTCTAGAGGTTAAATTGCACACAAGAACTGTTCTTGGGGAAAAGGTGTCCTCATTTCCGGGGTGCTCCTTACACTGTACCATGTAGTCCTTCTTCCTCTTTCCTCCCTCTCTCCTCTCTCATCTCTTTCCTCCCTCTCTCCCCTCTCTCTCTCTTTCCTCCCTCTCTCCCCTCTCTCTTTCTTTCCTCCCTCTCTCCCTCTCTCTCCCCCCTCTCTCTCTCCTCTCTTTCCTCTCTCCCCTCTCTCTCCCCTCTCTCCCTCTCTCCCTCTCTCTCCCCTCTCTCCCCTCTCTCTCTTTCCCTCCCTTCCTTCCCTCTCCTCCCTCTCTCTTCTCCTCTCATCCCTCCCTCCTCTCTCTCCTCCTCTCTTCCCTCCCTCTCTCTTTCTCCTCCTGCTTCCGCCCTTCTCCTCCAACACGTCACGAAGCTCCTTCATCTGTTGAGGGAATGAGGCAGTGACTGAGAGATCAGTGAGACCAACGTATGAGGCCAGACTCTGGATTATGTCCCCCGCCAGGTCCAAATCATCTGTCTCTATGGTGAACTGAGGGGAGGGGGGTGGAGTGAGGGATGGAGAGGGAGGGACGGAGAGGGAGGGGTGGAGTGAGGGAGGGAGGGAGGGAGTGAGGGAGGGAGGGAGGGAGTGAGGGAGAGGGAGGGAGGGAGGAGGATAGAGGACAGGAAAGGTAGATGGATGGTCTGAGAGTCTGACACTAGACTAATAGATAGCATTTTAGGCATCGTGATACTCGAAATTCACCCGATGCCTCGCATGGTCACAAACAGGTGAATGCAGTCGATGTAAGCAAGCGATAAATTTACATATCGGCCTGTTCACTTGGTTTTTACGCCGTAACTTTTCAACGAAGTATTTTTTATGAAAATTAGCATCAAGCCAGTGTAACACTGAGACAATTAGTATTGTTTTATTGCTGTCTTGTTGCACATGGCGGCAGATAACGCAACAGACAGACAGACAACCAAGTACTGTAACCCCCGCTGCGCATGCATGCCGAGAGTTTATTATTATACTCGCCAAAACGGCACTGCATTCTACAAAAGAGAAGGGAAGGGAGGGAAGGGAGTAAGAAGGTATCTCACAGCTCCATTCTGTGCAGGTTTGAAGGAGAGGATGAGAGGGAAGGATGAGCGGAGGGAGAGGAAGGCCACGTGGAGGTATGGAGTCAGAACCGAATCCTCTCCTGCTCCGTACATGAAACTATCGTTCAGCCAACCAGTCACCTGCAAGACCACAACACAGCATGTGTGGATATATACATATCTTACGCAGTTTAACACTTAACCAGCCACGGACACATAAAGGTGTCGGCAGCCTCCATAAGTCCATTAGAATTTATATGTGGGTTATAATACTAGGCACTAATATACATCATTTTCTGCTTATTTAAGCAGACACCCATGGCGTCCAAAGGGTTTTAATTTTAAGCCATTACACATGGTGCCAACTTTGTCGCTTAAGACAAATTTGCACGAGAATTCTAATAACGTAATGTAAGTGTGTAAGTGCCGGCACGTATAGGTCTCGGGTTTGATTGGTCCATGTAACGTGTGGCATGCAATAGAAATGAGCTTCGTTGCACGAGCCCATCACATTTGAAGTTGCATGCAACTTTGTGTCACGCAGCAAGGTTGCATCACGTGTCATGGCCTTAAATTGTACATATAAGTCCAGCTTTAAATATATGTTGCAGTGCCCAGACAGGACAGCATGAGCCCTGTAAGGGCGAATGCTGTCCTGTTTGGGTACTGCAACAGATTTGTTGGGCAAACGACATTTATGAACCCTGCTTGCACATGTAGGATTGTATAGGCTGATACAATCCCCCAGTACCTAGCTTCATACATGTCGGTTGCCTAAGGATATCCAACAATGTGCGATGCTATAAAAGTTGCAAATTGTGACATTTCTAAGTTGGGTGGGAGCCTGAGTGCTAAGTTGGCACAGATAGCTTTTTCCTTTAGTGCACTCATGCGAAGAATGCACTAAATTGACTGCACAATTCATGTGGAAAAGCATGCAGACACAATTATTTAAGCACACTCACACACATTATGTTGACCCAGGGAACATACAGTAGCATTGCATAACTGTTTGTAATGACGTTTATCCCATAAGCTTTTCTGTTTTATTAGACTCCAGACACCTAATTAACCCTCTGCAAGCATGTGCAGCGAGGATTACAGTATTTGGTCTGTGTGTGTGTGTGTGTGTGTGTGTGTGTGTGTATTCAACATCTCACTTCTCCGGCTACATATTATGCGTGCCACAAATGAACCTACATATTCAGTGGCCACCAAAAGTAAAAAACCATGAAACGATTCTCTCTGAAACGGCTTTGTTGTTAAACTCGAACTTTACTATCGAGCAAAACATGCTGGCAGGATATGGGTGCTTGCTGGCTTCATTGCCGCGGCCCAATCCGCATGCCGGATTGCGAGTTCGAGTTTTGGCTCGGTGCTGACCTTGACCAGCAGGAGTGGGGGGTCCAAACCACGAATGTCTGGGCATGGTCAGCACATACCAGTGGCAAAGCCTTGTGGGGATTAGTTCAAAACCACAAGTGCTGCACTCCTGGTAGCCTTTATAAACTCGTGATGCCAGAGAGAGAAGTTGTGGTATGCTCTGCTGATGAGGGCCAACAAGCCCGAAACAGCTGTCCAGAGCTCAGAGCTCCCCACCATTTTTCTCTTGGCATCACATGGTATTTTCTACATGCTATTCTGCCACTTATAAAAAGTGAAATGTTACTAAAGATAAAACAAAACAATAGGGACAAAGTTAAAGAATGTAATTAAGTTCCGTTTTTTTAGTAACATTTCTAAATTTAGCCCTTATATACCACATTCCCTCAATGGTTGACGTCTGCTCATGTGTGTTGTGTTGCTTGTGCTATCATTGACTGAGGAAGGTGTACGGACCGAAACGTCTCAAGATACTTGTCACTAATACTGCTACTACGACGAACTTCACACGATTAGCTCTGACTTATTGTGTATCTTATTAATACAAGCACACAAGTTGATGCACCGAAGATTTGCACTTCAGTGCTTTTTATTCCGTTTCATGGAGTAGTCACACGTGCAAGTCTAAATTACTAGGAATGCGCATGCGCATATTTTGCCTCGCGCCTGCCAGCCAATGTGTAAACAGTCCGACTAAGGCGCGCTCTACTGACTGCGCGCGAAGCCAGACTTCCTACGAATCTGCGCGCACGGCGGAAGTTAGACTTCCTACGAATGACGGAAGTTGACATTCCTAAAGCGTGACTAATTGACATTCTTAAGCGTGACCGACACGTACGTACGTACGCATATCGCGAGAATACAACCCGGAGTAGTTGTGCAAGGCAATAAAGTACGAGAGGTCACATTAGAGGTACTGCATGAACTCACAGTTTCCAATCTCTCTGGTACGTTGAAGGCCACCCTGCCCTGGGGGTGTGGCTCCGTTGCTAGGGGACACGGGATGTAGAGTGAGAACTGCGGGAGGCGACGTGTGGCCTCAAAGACATGGAACTGGGTACTGCACGGAACGGAATACAGACACTTACTGTACATGTGTGGTTACACAACAAACCAGATAGTTACGCAAAGAGTGCTAAACCTTAGTGCATAGAGCGTGCATGGACTTCTTCAGGTTGTGAATACCACACTAAAGCTCTTTGTGGTGAGGTATACAGACAAAGTGATGTGAGTGGACAGTCGCTATAGACAGCTGTTTGCTCCCATGCTACTGTGCCCAAACTCTTGGGCTGGATTCACACAGTAAGTTGCAATGCCCTGTTGCACCATCGCCTCCTGAGGATCGAGGCCATTTCTATCCTTGTGGCACGATGACGGTATTGTGAACCCAACAGATAGGTGGAAAAAGAGCCTGCATACAGTATAAGCTACAAATGTCAAAATCCACTAGCATAAATTAAGATACACTTTAAAGACAGCACTTGTTTCTTAGCTATATACAATTACGTACAAATGCTCTCTGACTGTCCACCATAACCACCACTCTTATCCAAATGGACACACTGCGAGCCAACTCCAACACAACTGACGTAGAGTACGTGAACAAGTGTGTGTAAAAGGTCATCCAGTGGTAGAGAATACAAACTTTTGGACTCTACTAGAATAATTCTCAGAGTAATCTTTTCCTACCCCGTGTCTCATACCGTACTCCCACTGTTGGCTGAGGAATGTGAGGAATGCTTGCCAAAAATGTGCCGCAGTCTAAAGGCAATGTGGCAGTATACAAGAGCTAAATTTAGAAACTGTTACTAAAAACAGAAAGTTATTGCATTCTTGCACTGGGCCCAATTGCTTTGTTCTAAATTTAGCCATATGTACACAATCCCTTTAAGTAATGGATACAAAGTGCAAACTTTCAAAACCTTTGGATGCCACGAGTACATTCCTTACATATTAGTGCCTAATATACCAGCATAAATTCTTACGGACTTACTGAGAACTGGTCTATGGGGCAAACCATTTACTAATATATTGTGGATTGGAAGTTGAAAGTCGCCTCCAATTTCTAAAGCAGGAAAAGCAAACAACAAAGGTTTCCTGCATGAACTATGTATTGAAGCTCTGTTGTGTACTGTGTAGTGTGGGAGAGTGGTGAGAGGGTTAAGCACCTTGTAGGGTGCCCGACAAAGGCCTGTATACTGAGGTCTACTGCCAGGTCCTTGTCGGGAAGGAGAGGGACTTTGACACAGCTTCCGAGTTTACCACTGGGTGGGTGACTGGGAGAGAGGGGGGAGTGAGAAGGATGGATTGAGAGAAGAAGGGTGAAGAGAAAGGAGAGGGGGAAGGGAGAGAGAGAGGGTGGAGATGGTGAACAGAAAAGGAGGGTGAAGAGAAAGGAAAGCAAAGGAAAAGACGGAGGGAAGGTAGGAGGGAGGGAGAAAGAGAAGAATGGATGGAGAGAGAGGGAGGGAGGGAGGGGGAGGAGGGGGAAGATGGTGAACGATGAAATGAGAAAAGGAGGGCGAAGAGAAGGAAAGACGGAGGTAAGGTAGGAGGGAGGGAGGAAGAGAGAGGGGTGGAGGAAGAAGGAGAAGAATGGACGGAGAGAGAGAGAGACGGATGCGGGGTTAGGTGGAAGGAACGAAAAGAGGGATACCGACGAGGTATGTAAGGAAGTCAGTGAAGCACGAAGGATAAAGAGGGAGGGGAAGAAGAGTGGGTAATGTGAGTTACTAACATAATGTGACTCTCTCCTTCAAACAGTCCTTCGGCAAATATGACAACTGCTCTGATTACAGTATCTGCAGCAATTAACACAAAATCACATCTTAGCATTCTAGAAGAAATTCATTGTTGAGAGTCAGTGTGATCAACATCTATGGTGATGGATGGAAGGACAGATATCACATGGAATATTCTAGAAGTTCATTGGTATCTCATCATGGGATGGACAGAAGCCAGAAGTACAGAAGCTTCTAGAGTTCAAAAATTCGCGCGACGCGCGCTGGGGAGGTGAAATGAAAGCGAGAAGGAGCACGGATGGGGAGCAAGTGGAGGGAAGGGTCTGACGATGAGCGCAAAGGGGAAGGGACGGTGACCAGACAAGGGGTGAGAGGACGGCGACGGTGTAAAAAAGAAGAACAGTAAACGAGCGATAAGAGTGTGATGATAGCTCTCTTGCTTCCACCCTCTTACACACACCTCGCTGCAGACAAACATGGTGTTGCGACAAAACAAGTCACTGTGTCCCAATGGTGTGAAGATTGATATGACTGTGACAAGGACAGTTGTGCAGTTGTTGATTGCATAAGACCCAAGGGTACATGTATAGGTTTGATGATGCAAGTGTGCTAGGGTGAAATAGAGCATACTTGCCATCATCAAACCTACTTGGTATATGTTTCCAGCACAATGCCTGAATAGCAAAGTGGGTGTTGATTGGGAAGTGACTCAGCCCTCCGCTGTTGGTGGTAGTACAGCTAAGTGGCTGCTATATACTACTGGCCAATAATGTGCCGTTGCTGGGGTAACGTATACCAAATGTACATAATATGCACCTTCACTCACTCACTTCTCCCAAAATTGTGTAATGCTGTCGCATAGTATGTGAAATTTTGTACGTGTGAAAAATTGCATAACATGGTTCAAAGATCAGACTTCCATACTAAATATGAAAAGCACTAAAGTGCAAACCTTGGCACACTAGAAACGCCCACTCGCAAGTATATGCATGTGTAGTTGACTTGTTTGCCTTGCCTTGCCTTTCTATATACCTCGTTACCAAGTTGTTGAGACATGCTGAATTCGGGTTTTGGCTCGTACTGGCAACGCCTTGTGGGGATGAATCTCATTAGTTCAGAACCACAAGTGCTGCGCCTGAGCAAAGCCTTGTGGGGATGAATCTCATTAGTTCAAAACCACAAGTGCTGCGCCTGAGCAAAGCCTTGTGGGGATGAATCTCATTAGTTCAGAACCACAAGTGCTGCGCCTGAGCAAAGCCTTGTGGGATGAATCTCATAGTTCAGAACCCAAGTGCTGCGCCTGAGCAAAGCCTTGTGGGGATGAATCTCATTAGTTCAAAACCACAAGTGCTGCGCCTGAGCAAAGCCTTGTGGGGATGAATCTCATTAGTTCAAAACCACAAGTGCTGCGCCTGAGCAAAGCCTTGTGGGGATGAATCTCATTAGTTCAGAACCACAAGTGCTGCGCCTGAGCAAAGCCTTGTGGGGATGAATCTCATTAGTTCAGAACCACAAGTGCTGCGCCTGAGCAAAGCCTTGTGGGATGAATCTCATTAGTTCAGAACCACAAGTGCTGCGCCTGAGCAAAGCCTTGTGGGGATGAATCTCATTAGTTCAAAACCACAAGTGCTGCGCCTGAGAAGCTTGTGGGGATGAATCTCATTGTTCAAACCACAAGTGCTGCGCTGAGCAAAGCCTTGTGGGGATGAATCTCATTAGTTCAAAACCACAAGTGCTGCGCCTGAGCAAAGCCTTGTGGGGATGAATCTCATTAGTTCAAAACCACAAGTGCTGCGCCTGAGCAAAGCCTTGTGGGGATGAATCTCATTAGTTCAAAACCACAAGTGCTGCGCTCAACTCTGCCTTTATAAACTCGTGATGCCAGAGAGAGAAGTTGCGGTATGCTTTGCTACAGCTGTCCAGAGCTCCCCATCTTTTTTCTCTTGGCATCACATGGTCTATTGTTACATGGTACTGCTAATTGACGGCCACTGGGCTGGGCTTTAACTACACTCGTGGTCTCTTGCCAGCTCACTGAGAGTCCTCTATCACGGGCTAGCTACACTACTAATTAGCATGCGGGAGTCTATACTTGCCCTTCGTTGCAACTTCTGTGCTTCCAAGGTACACAGGGCAAGCGTATCCGGTCGTGTGCTAATTTGCATATTGGCTTTTTCACTTGGTTTTCATGCCATAACTCTCGAACGCAGTACTTTCACGAAATTCGCCTAATTTCAAGAGTGTAGCGCTGACCCTTTTGGTATCGCTCTTTTGTTGTCTCATTGCACGTGGTGGCAGAAAACGTGGTAACAGACAGACAGACAGACACACACGCAAACCAACAAGCAGAGGGTTAATTCAGTCACTAAAAAGCACACTTCACTCATTCCAGTATGCACAAAGTATTATTATATGTACTTACCATTGGTTGCTTCAACAGACAGCTCTATATGAGGCTGTGTAAAAATATCAGACAGCACATATTTACAGTGGCATAATTATTATCATGTTACCTAGTGAATAGGTGACACTTTGGGGACATTGAAAGTGTTCTTTATATACCAGAGGCTTTCTTCATTGGGATATAACACTAGTGTGCTAGAGGAATGTAACGCATTGTTTGGCGAGCGAGCGCGGTTAGTTCAAAATTTCACGCGTCTTGCGCATATTTAGAATCACACAGAACATTACGGTATGTTGGTCCAACATGTTTAAAAGAATATTCCATGCCACTTGTCTCGTGGAACTAAAGTAGCAAGACTTTCTCAACATACACAGGGTAACTATATCTCCTGCAACTTGTTGCACCATGGAAATAGAATGGTTGTCTATATTCCATGCAACTTGTCCCGTGGAACTAAAGTAGCAAGACTTTCTCAACATTACACGGGACTCATGCAACTTGTTGCACTATACACCGTGTGCTGGGTTCATTAAACTACCCTCAATATTATTACGCAGCATTTTCAGTTCGTCCCTTGAAATATCACACCCAAATCAACCATGGATTCCCCCTACTAACCCAGCCACCCCCTTCCCATTCTTACGGCTAGCTTGCCCCCTCCTCCTCCACCTCCTCCTCCCCCGTCGGGCAAGAAGGCACTGAACTCTGTCCTCAACAGAGTCCCGGCTGGAATGACCCCCATCGGCTGCCCCCCCTGGGAAATTTCACTCAGGGGGTCCTTTGACCGCGACACCTGTATGAAAAACACCAAGTGTATAAGTGTAATGTATTGCTACTAAAATGGCGGGTCGGGATAGGGAAGGCTCTGATTCAGGGGACTCACTCAACTACTACGACCTCCTGGGAGTGGAGAGGGACGCTAGTCCAGAGGAGGTCAAGAAAGTGTGAGACGTTTTTAGCGTAGAGATACAGGCAAAGCGAGCATGCATTTTAGAGCGTATTGACGTAGAATCACGTACACATTACAGTATGTTGGTCTGTAGGTCTGTTGACTGTTACAGATATGGAAAAATTCCGCATTCAGGGGCTCGCTTTGGTGGAGGGTGTATATATACCACCAGTAGGGAAAAAGGTATAGAGACCAGCCATTGCAGCATCTTAAAAACCTCAGTAGTAGTAATTCCCTTGTGTATTTCCGCATCGTGCGATGTTCATTGAGACAATGTATGGGAGTAAAAATACGTAGCTTGGAAAATAACTACACTGGGTAATCGCAAATTGAAATTTGTGCGATTTAATTTTCTCTGCCACTTTGGCCCATGACCTCATGAACATGAAGGTATTAGACCATGTGATGCCAAGAGAAAAAAGATGTTGAGCTATGGACAGCTGTTTCGGGCTTGTTAGCCCCCATCAGCAGAGCATACCGCAACTTCTCTCTCTGGCATCACGAGTTTATAAAGGCTACCAGGAGTGCAGCACTTGTGGTTCTGAACTAATGAGATTCATCCCCACACCACTGGTATGTGCTAGGTCTAATACCTTCATGTACATCGGACACCTTGTCTACGTATGTATGCAAAGATGCACAAAGCTACATGACACCATCCCTATATCTTTGTCTCATATTAAACTTTACTTGTGAACTATAACACAAAGATAAAACGGCAAATCGATAAAAGATGCAATTTAGGACTAGTTATTGAGGTGAGACGCTAACCTTTTCTGAGGCCTCGAAGTTTCTCAGCTCCAGTAGAAGGTTCTAGAACAAGGGCAAAGAGAGAACATTGAACACTCGTGCAGTTGAATGCTATAGCTAGTCATCTGCTGTTGAAGTAAATACAGTAGTGTCGCATTATAAAGAACACTCTTAGTATGAAATACTGGATACTACAAACACACTCTCAGAGCCTAGCCCTATAGAACACTGTACATTTTCCCCACACTTATGACAATTCCCCTTACTGTGAACAAATTATTCAAGTCCCCAATTCATTGCAACGAGACTCCACCGCGTGCAACAATCCAACAAGGGCTGAAAGGAGAACTATCAAAGCCGGGCTATATTAGGTAGAGCAGTACGTTCACGAATCAGTGAGAAATACGCACTTTATTGGTTTGCTTGTGCAACCAAAAAAAGACACATTTTGACGAACCCCTCTAATCCAGACACCAATAGGACAGGATAAAGTATCCACACTAGTATATACAGTGAGCAAAGGTGTACTTACTTTAGGTGCTCATGAAACAGTTCTAGCGGAAAGAAAAGGTGTCCTCTATAAAGATACGTGGGTGTCCTTAGAGAAAAAACCTTGGAAAAATTCGATCGCCTGAAACATTTCCACAGATCTACACACAAGAAATCACGGTTGAGGCTGAACCAAGGGTTGCAGTAGAGGGTCCTGAGGTTAGAGTCAAAGCCTGCGATCCAATGAGCAGAAAATCTCCAATAATTACACTACAATCAAGACCAGCAGAGCCCCTTTGTCCACCAACCATTGCATTACGGTTTTGTATGCTTCCCTTAAGAACTGTATAGAGTGGGACCTCCTAAAGTGGCCCTTCTGAAGGGGCACCCCTGAAATTATGACACTCTCTTTTTCCCCCAAGACATGTACACGCAATTCACAAGGACAGTTCACTCAATGTGGACACTTTCTTCTATCCCATTGGTGCCAGATTCCAGAAGGGGTCGACTGTGCTTTAGAGATCTTCTCCTCTACAGTCCAAGAGTGGCAAGTCCAAAGTTCAAGGTATCAGCTTTGCTATGTGCTACTCTCCTCCTCCGGCCTACGTACATACATACGTAGATATAAACCTTCACTTGTCAGGACCAGCTTACCCTTCACCTTCTGTTAGTCTAAGAAAACATGTTTACACTGGGAAGAGCAAACTGAAAACTACGGAAGCTGAAAATCATTTGAGCAACGACACCTCTACCCATTCCGGTGTACACGAATAAAATTCTTTCAACAGGATGTAAACTTTGAAGGGAAACTCGGTAGTCTTTTGTGCCAGAGCCTTCGAAACTAAAAGTTACAGCTCGCTTTGATGTCGCAACAAAAGATAACGGTGTGTAACTCTAATAGAATAGAACGGGCGGTATATTTCCCCTGTATGCGCAGCGAGGGTTACTGTAGTTGGGTCCGTGTCGGTATATCACGGCTGTTTCCGCGCGGACATTTGTATAGGTAATAGTGCAGTTTGGTGTGGTATTAGGGATTAATAGGGATGGAATTTTTCAAAATATTATGAGGCGAAGCCGAATACTATTTTGAAAAATTCCATCACTATTAATCCCCTAATACCACACCAAACTGCACTATCACATGTTAATAGTATAGTGCTGTGTATAGTGATCAGTGTGTTATATAGATTAGCTATAGTCATGCTCACAAGATCTTTCGCGACACTTGTTTCTGGAGCTGTAACTTGTATGAAGTATTTCACATTGATTTCCTAGTCACTTGATTTGATTGGTCGATTTTCTGGGGTATTTAAATTTTCGGGGGGTATTTCAATTTTCCAAGGGTATTACGGTGAAATAGTTAAATTCTCTATGGATCAAATGTATTGGCTGTTACATAGTATACTATTAAATATACTAAACATAGCTACATGTACTTCCATGTGGGAATAGTACACATGAAATTATAGTTCATAGCATACGTATACCAAGACTTTCGTGCACTTTCACGTGCACACTGTAAATAGTACGGTAGCACTCATGGAGATGGCACACATGTGCATTACATTGTTCCCATGACACTTTACATGTTTGTAAATAGCCCCAGGCACTTTTATTTTAAAGTGTATATACTTCTTCACTCCTCAAACTTGGATTCGCCCCATCCCTGAGTAACACCTTCCGCGTTCCATCACGTGCCCAAAAGACTATCACTAGAGTGGGCGTGGTCACCTGCTTCCTCTGGGCAAGACTCTCCAGCTGTTTCCAGTGGTCCTGCCCCGCCCACTCCTCCCTCCCTGCCCCGCCCACCCCGCCCGGCTGGACTGTCGAGGCGGAGAGATATCCGCGAACCTCTCCGTCCACACTGCAGCAGATGAGCTCCACGTTCCCGTCTCCCCTGTAGTCGGCCTGGGAACAGAGATAGAGAGACAGTGCAACTCCTCTTATCTGGGTATGATATATGAGGACACGTCTCTCGTAAGGACCCCTTCCCCGAGGAGCGAGAACTTCCCACACACTCTATAATGGTCAAAATCTCTTGCCCAGACTGAAAAACAAAGTCAAACACTCGCAGAAACGCAACGGTGTATGCCACTCGACTCTGACGTGAGTGAGTGTGTGGCATTCAATTTGGACCATCTCGAAGCACCGGCACACCGAGTCTCTGGGGCTTTTGGAATGTACACATTTCCCTACGTAACACGGCAATTGCAGATTCAGTGGCAGTAGACGTCACAGTTAGGAATACAGTGAATCCCGGTGTGAACTGTAGCCTCACAATGAAGTGTTTCCACTCTGGAAGGTTGTTGTCATTGACTAGGAATAACATCACAACTGAGGTGCCATCAGAAAATTACAGTTTCACTTTTAAAAAAGGGAAAAGCAGTAAGTTTGCTTATTGTAGGCTTAGCAGCTGAGAGATGACCGAATTAGGTAATGTTCTAGCAGGCAAACGCTGGTGATCGAGAGGGCCAGTTAACAAACAGCACCTTTACACAAACTGAACTACATACCAACTAAAGTCTATTTGCGTTCACCTGAGCCCCGGTAGTGGTTGTGTAACACAGACACCACATACGTACTTTACTTATGATATACTTCTCTTATGGGACATACAGCTAACTTTTGACTGCATGGTTAGTGAAGGATACCATCAGAGCGGGAAAGTTGCAAGGATTCCAATGGTGTTAGCATTTTTACAATTGGATGTAAGTTAAAACAAGTTATGACAATTTTTCGAGGGCTTAGGTGAAGTCAAATAGAATTTAGAACGAATGCAATATGCATTTTTTGGCGATTGAACGCGAGAGTTACTGGCGTGCATGCAGAGAAATTTCAGTTATGTGAATGCATAATCACACAGGACAAATGCAGGTACATAATGGTGGCAGCACAAATAAACACACAAGCCACTAGGTTAGCTGGCTCCCGTTTGCCAACAGAGCCCCACCGCGAGCAGCTCACCTGGACTATGCCAGCCACGTGGGAACCAAAGGAGTCTTTGTACACAACTTCTCCAGTTTTGCTGCGTCG